GATCTAAAAAGCAAAATGAATATTTTAGTACCCAGGGTACCGAAAAAGTGTGCCAGAACTCCCCTTTTTGCCCTACTTCATTCCATTAATCGATGAGATTGACATTTCAGGTATTGACCCACCACATAGCTGCCATGCCTTTCAAGTGGGGGATTACCACAGGTATCTTATGCTGGTCTTGTACCTGGTTAGCTTCGAAGGCCTTTTCTATGTCCTCCAACCAACTAATGGGGTTTTGCTCACTACCAAAAAAATCTGGGTATGACACCAGATTAAGTTCTCGATTTTGCATAGCCACATTAATGGCAGGGATGTTAATTTGGGATGCCAGGACATGCTGAATTTGCATTATCAAAGCCCCAATTTGTTGAGCAAGAAGAGTTATTGAATTATTTTGAATGTTGTCCTAGTTTTGGTTGCCGAAGTGATTGTGCTAAAGTATTAGGATAGGCTAGATGGGTTGGTTAGGTTGATCGATTTGATTATTATCATCCAGGTCAATAAGAAGCAGGACTTGGTTTTGATTATTGTTTTGAGCCATATTGTCATCTTGTAGGTTCTCTTCGAAGGTCTCACTATTATATACATTGGCTAAAAGGTCTATAGCAAACTGGTTAGTCTCTTGGTATGCTGTTAAAAACTTGTTTATAGAGTTGGAAAATCGTTAGGACGTTCGTTATATCTGAAACTGAAAATGAAGCAGCATATTAGCTGGTTAGGGATTTGATGGATTTCGAAATTACTAAGTTTCTCAAAATGTCTTAAGGCATGTTGTGAGTAAGAGTCGGCCGGTTGAAAGGTGCTGAACCACGTCCAGAAAGTAATAAAACGAGGCGTAGGTTCTTGAGGCAGGTAACAAGTAGTGCAAGAATCGTCCTGGTAATATTTGGACAAATAGTTGATTGCCTGTGGTGTCTTTCTGAAGAGATAATGATGGTGGTTGTGTTCAGTAATATTTCTTAAGTGTTGGTCAAAATTGTTCATACATTCTAAAAACTTACAGGCGTATGTTCCACACAATCGGCACCAAATGTTACTATCGGTTTGGAAGAGCATCAGATGATACGGTGCTGGTTTGTCTCAGGATAGTAAACCGAGATAGTTTAAAAGGGCAAAAAGGCGTCTAGTTATAGTGTAAGAAAACCAGGGAAGGGGTATCGGGTTAGCGAATATCATTGCCGATATGAAACTAGCCGGGTCTATCCAAATAGAGAAGAGGAGCTGTGAGGTTAATGTTAAGAGATACGTATCGGGATATGAGTTATACAGGTAATCTAATCAATCCTGATTGTCAATTGTTGACAATCCAAAATGGGACGGGATTGATTTAAGACATAATGGGGTATTGGGGTTAGTACAATGTATTACGTGTATAAACGTGAAGATGTGTTTACATATTATTATGAGGTTACTTGTGAAGATATATTCACAAAGATATATAAGAAAGTTAAAAGAAAATAAAAATAACAAATACGCATTAAGATAACTTAATGCTGACAAGAAGCGTGGGGTTTACAATACAGTATATAATTTATACTAGGCTTCAGTCAGCCTCAAATTTTATATAAGACAAGAGAAAAACGTTTGAGAACGAAGTCTAAAAAGTCTTTATTGAAGGTTAGAAAGTTAGCTTTAAATACATCCTGGATCTGTATAAATTCTTTAAACTACCCTATTGACGGAGTATCCTCCTTTCGTTTATTTATTCTAATTTATAATTTCAACTTTCCTCTTTACCAATAAACTCTTTTTGGAAAATAGTTACAACATTAAAGTATCCCACATCCGTCTTTTTAATGAATTTAAACGGGGCGTGTATGAACAGACGTCTTGGCGCCATAATTAAATGCTTCACATTCATCTTTAGATGAACATAAACAATTCATGTGTAAATTATATGATTCAGACACATTGTTACAGTTGGATGTGGTAACGTCCTTTAACAAGTCAATTCAAGAATGTGAAGGATGCTTCATTGGTATTTTCATAAAACTGTTGGACCAAGTTTCGGAAATTTGTTTTACTGTTCAAGTCGGTGAGACATAGGCTCGTACCGGGCCATTTTGACAATCGATGTTGATCGTGTTAATAATATTGCACTACTATAGACTTCTAAACTTGACTTACCAAATACAGTAATAATGATAGATATTTATAGAAAATACAAATAAGAAAATGGATAACTAATGTATAGGTTTAATAAATAAAGTATAGATCGGTAGCACCAAAGCCAAACCAAAAAAGGAAACAAAAAAAAATTAATCAGGTGATAGGAGTAACAACGTGATAACTATATATCTGGCTTTAGACGATTTCCAAATTTTGGCTATCATACAGAGTGTCGCAATAGTTACATATTGACTTTGGTAAATTCATCCAGGATTACTATAATATTACAATATTTATTACATAGCGATGAATGCTATACCTGAAACGCAAACTTTTTAATAATTCTACAAACAACCAATCAAAATTGTTAAAATATAAAAACTCTGAATTAGATAGTATAGATAGATAGATAGATAGATAGATAGATGTCTTATTTTAAATACATACACTATTATAATAATCACCACTAAATCAATGAAATAAGAAATCAAATTACAGCTGAATTGAAAATTAGTGGGATACGTGATGGATTTTGTGATAATCGTCGGCAAATCTCGGTAATAAAAATGTCTAAATTTCGGCCAGTACAAAATTATACTGAAATAATGTTTCACCGAAATTTTTATTATCAAAAACTATTACTGAAATTTGCCGATGATCATCAGTAAAGTGAATAAACACTATTTATTTTTCGCAATAGCGGGAATAAAAGGCAAGTTCCCAGTTATATGAGAGCACTTCAGGCCCTTCGGGCCTTTATAACCGGAGATCTACTGGCTTATTTCCTCGCAGTGAAAAATATGAGTGTTATTCTTCATTTAAAAGTCATGACGGCTGATCATATAAGTTGCAGTAGTGATTTCTTCTTTGATCCACAAATTTCACAATATTGATAACAAGATCAGTATGGTATGTTTTTAAAATACCATATAAGCGTAAAATAATGCTTGTGAGCATTATTTTGAAAATCGGGTCTTTCAAAAACAACTTATATAGTTGCGAGTTGGCATTCTGAATTAACGCGCATTCTAATGTAGCACAAAAATTTCTATTGCGATATACAGTCGATACTCTATATGAGTACACTCTATAAGCACTTCATATGCATTTTCCCTATAATGATAAGTGCATATTATTTATGTAATATTTAGTATTGTATGTAGATTATTCTCCATAATAAATATTTTATAAATGCATGCATTTATTGAAAGTCAACTATATTAAATTTGAAATTCTTCTCTTATTTCGAAATAACACACAGGTCAATTAATTAGCACGCAGATGGGCATTATTTTGCACTTATATGGTAGATATTTTAACCCTCTTACTATATAGTTTGGTCATCTAACTATCCAGATATTCTGTAATTTCTAAAATACTTATTTTTAAAGTAATTCTGTACGATCTGCTGTACAGATTGGTTATCGCAATAAAACTAGTAAATTTTAAATTTATGATGTCACTGGTCCCTCCCTTACCTGACCAAATTTTAAGCAAAATTTTTTTATCTCTACTAAAATATTTGGGGATTCTGGTCACTAATTAAAAAAGTGACATTTTGTCTGTGAAGCAGGCAAAAGTGTCACTTTTTTAATTAGTGACATAAAACTGTAAAAAAAAAAAAGGTAAAATTTTTCTTTTTTTTAAATAAAAAGAAAGTAAGAGGGACGGGAAAAGGAAGTAGTGAGTGGGTGAGAGTGGGTGGAGGTAAGAGTAAAGAGAAGAGCGAAGAGAGCAAAGCAAGAATAGAGGAGCAATTAAAACTCTGAAATTGTGCTGAAGTCACGTGACTTTGGATTTTGCATTCTTGTGAAATTGGAGGAGTTTCAAACCCCGCCGAAATGAAGTTTGAAACTCTGATCAAACGATGAAGTCATGTGACATACTGGAATTCGAATTCCCACGAAAATGGTCGGTGACCCGAAATCGGGTCACGTGACCACGTACGTGATACGTACATTTTAAAAAAAATAAAAAATTAATTAATTAATTAATTAATTATTAAAAATAAATAAAAATAGAAATTTATTAATAAAATTAGCATAATATTACAAATTAGCTTAACGTAATATATCGGCATAACATATTAAAATTTACGTAACATATCGAAATTTGTGTAACCTATAGATACGTTTTGTATCAAACCTTCGGCAAAAATGTTTTTTAATCTTTTTTTTTATTAAAAAAAATAAAAAAATTCAATTTTTGTTAAATTTTTTTATACTAATTTTTTGTTAACTTAATAAATTATTATATTATAGATTTTAAAAATATAATAAATAAATTAAATAATAGTAAGTTTAATAGAAATTTTAATAAAATATTATAAATTAATATTAAATTAACAAATTTATTAAAACATGTAAAATTTAAAAAAAAGGTAAAAAATTTACAATTAAAGCAAAAATTTTAAAAATTTATATTATTTATTTAATAAATGTTTTGTTTTATTTATAAATTATACAAATAATTAATAATTTTATTACAATTTTTTTTAACTAAGATAGAAATGCCAAAAGAAAAGAAAAAAAAAAGAAAGAGAAAAAAGAAAAGAAAGAAACAAGAGAAAAGAGACCTACTCCTGATTATATTTTAGAAACATATGCAGCACCTGAAAATCCTGAAAAAGAACCTGATGATATAAGAGAAAATAGATTAAAAAGAAAAAGACAAGCTAAATATAGACATTATCAAAAAGAACAAACTGATGCAGGACCTTCAACAAGAACAAGGTCAAAAACTTCTAAAGCTTCTGAAGTATCATCAGACACAATAGCAAAAACAAAAAAAGGTCAAAAAAATAGATAACAAGAACATAGAGCTTCTATAGATGAAGCTAAAAAAAAAGAAAAAAGAAAAAGAGATAGAGAAAGTTATAAAAAGAAAAAAGAAGAAAAATTTGAACAATTTTATAAAACAGGACTTTGTAGTTTAGATAAATATAAGGAGGAGGTAGAAAATGAAGAAGATGATGATAATGAAGATGATAATGATAGTAATAGAGATAATGGTGGAGATGATAATGGAGATAATAATGGAGATGATGATGATAATAATAATGATGATGATGATAATAATGATGATGATGATGATGATTATTATAATGATGATGATGATAATGATAATAAAAAGAACAATGGGGAACATATATTAGGAAAAATGGACATTAAATGTGAACATTGTAAGGCTTTAAAATGGGAGGGAGAAAAACCAGGACTTTGTTACATAAATAGTGAAGTTATATTAGCACCACTTCTTGCACTACTACCAGCAATTTATAAATTGCTTACAGAAAAAGATCCTATATCTAAATTACCTTTTGTTAAACAAGCAATAGCATATAATCAAGTATTTGCTTTTACGTCAATTGATACAAAGTTAGATAAAAAAGTTGCCAATGAAAAAAAAAGAGCTTATAATTATAGAATTTAGGGTCAGCATTATTATCAAATTAGCTCATATTTGCCAAACCAAGAAGAACTATCACAATTTTCCCAAATATATTTTCATGATCCTACAAATATTAAAGCATAAATTGATATGAAATAATGAAAGAAAAATTAAATAAAAACATGTTAAAAGAAATTCAAGAGGAATTAATAGAATTCAATCCTTTTGTTAATACTTATATACAAGCAGGAAATATACAAGCAAGTCTTATTTATATTTTAATATATAATATACATGGCAGGGATATGAGACAATATAATTTACCAACAACTAATGAAGTAGCAGCAATTTGTTTTACTGATACAGAAATGCGAGAAAGAGATATTTGTATTTATAGATATGATGAAAAATTTCAAAAAATCTCTGAATTAAATGGTGCATATGATTCTTTACAATATTCTTTGCTATTTCCAAGCAGAGAATATGGTTGGCATTCAGTAATATTAAGAAGAAATGAAATACAAATAGTTAAACCAGCTAAACCTGCTGATAAAGATAATGATGATGATAATGAAAGTGAAATTGATGATGATTTATATTGGATTGATGAAAAAATAATAGCAGCAAACAAAGAATGTTTAGAAAAGGAAAGCCAAAAAAAACTTTCTAAAAATATTTCTAAAGATCCTGAAATTTCTAAAATTGAAGCTGAAGAAAGTGGAATCTCAAAACAAGTATCTAATATTGACTTTGATAACTTACTAAAAAAAACATCACAAAGTAAAACAGGATTATCAAGTTTTTTAGAATCTGCAACTATTAGAAGTTCATCAAGTATGGATATTGATAAAAATATTGATATAGATGATAAAGAATATTTAGAGAAAAGATTATCTATAAAACAAGGAAAAAGAAAAGTTGCAGAAATTGAAGAAGAAGAAAAAGATAATAATAATAATAATAATAATAATAATGATAATAATAATAATGATGATCCTGATGATCCTGCAATAAAAAAAAGAAAAGTATATATGCCATATCAAGATGAATTTGATCAAGAAGCAAATACTGAATCTGAAAGTGAATTTATAATAATAATGGTGATGAGGAACATCAAAGATTCAACAACAAAAAAAGAAAAAAAAAACAACAATAACTATTAGGGAGTTTGCAGTATATAGATTTATGATTAGAAACTCAAATAAAAATGATAGCATTCTGCATCTTTTAGGCAGATTGTTTCAACAATATATAGTAGACCAGTATATGAAGTGGAAAACAAATAATTTAAGATGATATTATAAAAATCAAAAAAAATTAAGATCTGTAATTTTTGAAAGATTACAAGATATGATTTATAATGAAGATGCCAATCTTGAAGAAATTGGCAAAAGAATAATTTTGTTATCAAGCTTTACTGAATCACCAAGATATTTACAACAATTGTACCAAGATTCTATAGCAATTGTTAGAGAATTTGGAAAACCTAATCTGTTTATAACAGTGACATGCAATCCAAAATGGCCTAAAATTCTTTTTGAGCTTTTACCAAATCAAACTGCTCCTGATAGGCCAGATATAGTTGCAAGAGTTTTCAGATTAAAATTAAATGCAATAATTGATGATTTAGTTATAAAAGGAGTATTAGGAAAAGTTATTGCATATACATATGTAATTGAGTTTCAAAAAAGAGGGTTGCTACATGCTCATATACTACTTATATTAGCATCTGAAGATAAACCACAAACTCCTAAAGATTATAATCAAATTGTATCTGCTGAGATACCAGATCCTAAAAAACAACCAAGATTTTATAATATAATTAGCAAAAATATAGTTCATGGACCCTGTGGAAACATTAAAAAAAAATCTCCATACATGATTGATGGAAAATGTAGTAAATATTATCCAAGAGATTTTACTAAAGAAACATCAACAAATAAATCTGGATATCCTGTATACAGAAGAAGAAAAAATAATAGAAAAATTAAAAAACATAGAATAAAAACACCTATTGATAATAGTTGGATTGTTCCTTATAATCTATACTTAAGTCATAAATATAACTGCTACCTTAATGTAGAGATATGTTCAAGCATCAAATTAGTCAAATATCTTTATAAATATGTATATAAGAAGCAGGATAGAGTTTTATTTTCTTTAGTAAATCCAGAAAATGAAATTAAAAAATATGTTTCTGAAAGATATGTTTCTGCGGCTGAAGGAATTTGGAGATTATTTAATTTTGGTTTATACAAAAAATCTCATACAGCTGAAAGACTTCTTGCACATTTACCTAAAAAGCAGCCTGTTACTTTTGACCCTTCTGAATCAATAGCATCATTACTTAAAAAAGAAGAGTATACAAAGTTAACAAGATACTTTGAACTTTGTGCTAATAATCCTGTTGATGAATTTATTAAACAATTAAAATACTGTGATATTCCAAAACACTATACTTGGAATAGAGGTACCAATAATTGGCAAAAAAGAAAAAAAGGTGGTGCAAAAGTTATCTCTTGAATATATTTTGTTAATCCAAGAGATACAAAGAGATTTTATTTAAGAGCTTTATTAAATATACGTTGTGGTGTTAAATCATTTCAAGATTTAAGAACTATAGATACTATAGAATATAGTTTTTATTTTGAAGCAGCATTTCATGTTGGGTTGGTTGATAATAATCGTGAATGTTTTAATTGTCTTGATGAGGCTGTTAATTTTAAAATGCCAGCACAACTACGATATTTATTTGCCTTTATATTAGTTTACTGTCGACCAGTTAATGTAAAAGAGCTTTGGGATAAATATGTTGATCATTTAATTAAAGATTTTTAAATAGAAAATAATAATAGAGAATTAAATATTACAAAACTATTGATTATTATTAAAAAATATTTAATTCAAAATAGATTAGCTCTTAGTAATATTATAGGACTTCTAGCTCCAAATTATGCTTTATTAGAGGATGAAAATTATCAAAATACCATAAGTACTGAGGAACTAAATTTTGATCAAAATGAGCTTAATGAAACTTTGAAAAATAAAGCTAAATTGAATTCTGATCAAAAATTAATATTTGATGTTATTATTGCAGCACTTAATGGTCAAATTGATGAACATTTATTTTTTATTGATGGGCCTGGAGGAACTGGAAAAACTTTCTTATATAATTTGATCTTGGCTTATATAAGATCAAAAGAAGCAGGTTTAAATGGAATTGCAATTGCTGTAGCATCTTTAGGAATTGCTGCATTATTAATGAGTGGTGGAAGAACTGCCCATTCAAGATTTAAAATTCTATTAAATCTAGATGAAAAATCAGCTTTAAACAATCTGATTTAGCTCAATTAATTAGAGATGCCAAAGCTATTCTATAGGATGAGGCACCAATGATACATAGACATGCATTTGAAGCAGTTGACAGAAGTTTTAAATTAATAACAGGAGTTGAAGATAAACCTTTTGGAGAAAAGATTATGATTTTTGGTAGTGATTTTAGACAAATTTTACCTGTTGTTATTCGAGGTACACGAGGTCAAGTTGTTGATGCATGCTTGAAATCTTCTGAACTTTGGAAAGAAATTCATGATATGAAATTAACAATTAACATGAGAGTTCAAAATCAAGATAGTAATAATGAACAAAAAAAATTTGTTAGATTCTTATTAGATGTTGGTGAAGGAAATATACCTGTACATCCTGATATTATAAAATTGCCTGATAATATAGTCTTGGACAGTGAAAATCTTGATAATTTAATATCAGAGGTCTTTAATGATATTAATATACAATATCATTATCCTGACTATATTCAAGATAGAGCAATTCTTACAACAAAAAATATTGATGTCAAATATATTAATAATCAAATACTTGACCAACTCCCTAATAAAAAAATACATGAATATTATTCTGCTGACTCTGTTGAGGATCAAAATCAAGTCGATGCAAGTCTTTATCCAATAGAGTTTTTAAATACCTTAACACCAAGTGGAATGCCACCTTATTACTTGGCTCTTAAAAAAGATGTATCTATTATTCTTTTACGTAATCTTAATGCATCTGAAGGATTATGTAATGGTACAAGATTAATAGTTAAAGCCTATTATAGATATATTATAAATGCTGAAATCTTAACAGGTGTTAACAAAGGAAAAAGAGTTTTTATACCTCAAGTAAGATTAACACCATCAGATACCGATCTCCCATTTCAATTAGTACGAAGGCAATTTTCTATCAAATTATCATTTGCTATGACTATTAACAAAGCTCAGGGTCAAACAATTCTTAATATGGGTTTATATTTGCCCAAACCTGTCTTTACTCATAGCCAATTATATGTAGCTTTGTCAAGAGTTCAATCAAATGATAAAATTAAAATCTTGGTTAAAAATGATCATATAGAGAGAAAAGAGGGTATATATACTAAAAACATTGTATATAAAGAAATTTTTGACAAAGAAGATTAATTTATATTTGTATATAATTATTTTGTATAGTTTATATAATTTGTATATATAGTTTATATATTTGTATATATTTTAAAAATATTATTATTAATTAATTAATTTGTATATAATTTTTATATATAGCTGTATATAGTTTTAAAAATATTATTATTTAATTAATTGTATATAGTATAAAAGTATATTATTTAATTAATTGTATATAGTCTAAAAATATTATTATTTAATAATTAATTGTATATAATTTAAAAGTATTATTATTTAATAATTAATTGTAAATAGTCTAAAAATATTATTAATTGTATATAAAATAAGAAATTAAAAACTTAAATTTTATATAATTTAAATCTAAAACTAATATAATTTAGATTTAAAAATTAAAAAAAATTAAAAACTTAAACTCAAAACAATGTTAGATCTTAAAAATTAATATTGTTAAGATCTAAGAATTAGCAAAAAATTAGAATTTCAAATCTAAACAATGATCAAGTTCTAAAAGCTAATATAATTTAAATCTAAGAATTAGCAAAAAATTAAAAACTCGAATCTGAGACAATGCCTGGGTCTTAAAAACTAATAATGTTGAGGCCTAAGAATTAGCAAAAAATTAAAAACTCGAACCTGAGGCAATGCCTGGGTCTTAAAACTAGTTTTAATTATATAAATTTGCAGAATTAAAATAAAAAAAATTGCTCAAAATTTGGTTAGATAAGGTCAAGTAATATTCGTTCAAAGTTTAAGCATGTGTGAAAAAAGCTGCGGCCAAATTTTTTTATCTTTTAATGACGTTTTTCAACAATTAATTATCCAAATTCGATAAAAAATTTTTTATTTTAATTCTGTGAATTAAGAGAATTAAAATAAAAAAAATCCACGGAATTTGCATAGTTGGTTGTCGAGAATCTTCGCTTAAATTTATAAAAGAAAAATATTACCCGAATTTGGCTTTTTTCTTAGGCATTCAAATTATTTTTTAAAATTTAAGTGTAGATTTCTCGACACCTATCTATATACACTCGATGAATTTTTTTTATTTTCATTCTATAATAGCACAGAATTAAAATCAAAAACTTTTACTGGATTTCATCAAATAGTTATCGAGTAATCATCGCTAGAATTTTCAAAAATCCTTTAACTTGTATACTAATAGTCGCACGATTTACGATTGTTGCACGATCTGCATTATGCATAACTAAGCACAGAATTTTTTAATGCATTGCTGAGTAATCTTCGTTCATAACTTAGGTGCCTGAAAAAAAAAAAAGCTGCTGCCAAATTTTTTTTTAACTTTTAATGAAGATTTGTCGCCAACCTGCTATTCAATTTAATTGAGAATTTTTTTTTTTATCTTAACTCCATGAATCCACAGAATCAAAATAAAAAAAAAAAAAAATCATCAAAGTTTGGATAGTTTGTTGAGAAATCTTTGTTTAAAATACAAAAATGAAAATTTTATCCGATTTTCTTTTCAAAGATATTTTAATTTTTTTAAAACTTTTAGCGATGATTTCTCGACAACCAACGAATAAAATATTTTTTTATTTTAATTCTACAAACCTATAGAATTAAAATAAAAAAAGTTTACTGAATTCGTTCAAATACTTATTGAGAAATCATCGCTAAAGTGTAAAATTTATTAATAGGAGGAGCATCAGTGATCTACGATCTTAACCAACAACCTGACACACGTAACTTTTGTACCACCATGAGTAGAAATTAAGAGGCCGTCGCTTCGTTCTGGACAATTATTAAAATTAAATTCAGTACTCTTAGTATAGTCAAAGAAACCTTGTCGACCAGGAATTGGAGAGAATCTTTCACTGCCATAAGTTATATTTAAAAAGAGGAAATTTTGGAAAATTTTGAGAATTTCCCGTGATATGCACGTCCTTTTGAAAATAGCTAAACCACGGTTGAAGGATATAAAAAATTTCCTATCAAAAATTGTTGGATGTTATAGTTTTTCTACAGTGCTGAAATGCAACTAGCATATATTGAAAGGTTTTATTTTACTAAGTAAACTTTTCCTGTGCTTATGATGAAAATTGTATAACAAGTCATTTCAATTCTAAAATCTGATTAATATCGCGAAGTTATTAATAATTTTCGTAACTATATGATTTTACTTATTGAAAGAAACTTTTGACATTCCATTCATTACTAATATAAAATTTCTCGCCGATATTTACAGAGTTTTATATACTTCAGCTATGATTTACCCTGAATCATTATTTTTTTTGCTCGACGGATTTTCATCCTTAAACTTTATTATTACGAGAGTAGAAAAAAAAGATAATGAGACATTTTAAAAAGAAACAAAATATCCTACAGTGATTGTCCAATTAAGCATGATGATTTGTAAATATAAGATGGTTGTATCTTACTCAGTTTTCATGAGCGTCTAATTCGCTTGAGCCAACATGAAATGTTAAATAAACATCAAACGAATACTCAAAATATAAATAAATAGTATAGTTTTAAAGATTGTACTATTAACAACATGGACATATTTTGAAATTTTGACTCCTGAAATATTTATAAACCTATCGAAAAAAAAAAATAGTAAATTCAGGATGATTAGTTCAATGGGAGTTTTTTTTTTACCTTACATTCATTGATATATATTAAATAGTAAAATCAAAGAAATTCTTACTTGATAAATTAATATTAAATGTAAGATTGTTTGAATAGTTACCAGAACCAAAAATATAATGGTAAGAACGCCAGCCACGTAATATCCGAGTTCAATTAATTTTACGGCACCAATAGTTCCACTACTACCTTCGTTTAAAAATCCCACACCAATAATTACACCAAATAAGATTACAATGAATTCACCAAAAAAATAATATCTAAAATATATTTCACTATTCAATCTAATAAATGAAACAATTTAAGTTTTTTTTTTTTAATAATAAAATATATGATATGAAAAAATTGAATAATAAAATAAAATTATATAAAATAAAGATACATACTTGAAACCAGCATAAAGACTTAAATGTCTAGCCAAAAAATCCCCAATAGGCATAATGATAAGGTATAAAGCTGAGGCGATAAGTTGTGATAATATTTGTGCAGGATTAAATCTTGATGCCGCAATTGTAATATCTGCCAAAGAATGTGCTAGTAATGTTACAATCCAAACTGTTTTTTTTTTTTTTTTACAAAATCATAATCATAGATATATAATTATAGACATTAGTAAAATTATAAATAAAAGGTTTAAAGCTTTTTTAAAATGTTTAATCAATAATGAAAATAATTCACATTTAAAAAGAAAATAAGATGCACGAAGTAGTTTCTTATAATATTCATTTGTAAAATCGTTCTCAATATCATGATAAAGTACCGGATAACATTTTGGCCTTTCATTAAAGAAAAAAAAAAGTTTTCGTTTAAATCTTGAAAAATTTTTAAATTCTTGAAAAAATTTGACTAAATTTTTTAATTACCAATTATTTGGAGGTTGATCCACCGGATTTTCAATAATCAAGATTGTGTAACGACGACCACCACCACCACCACCCTGAGAAGATGGTCTACTGGCCATCTTTGTTGTGAATTATTTTTTATCGGTAAAAAGAGATTATAGTTTATGCCTTTAATTGAAAAAATCACTACAATATGCAGATATGGAGTCAAAAAGAGAGCGATTCTAAGCCCTTTTTTTCTATAGCCTTTAATATTTATAGCATATGTAGATTAAAAATTCTTGTTATGTGGCTTTGATATCATTATCGTTATTGTAATAAACTTTTCAAAGCCACAGCAATCAAACGTGCATACATGGTACCGGTACGTACGTACGTATGTACGTGTATACGTGAGTAATGCACGTACGTACGTACGTACGTAAAATAAATTATCTATCTGCTATCATTTAACTTTTAATATTTTTTTCTAGAGATGCTGACATATTGTTACATAATATTGTCGTAATTTACAATAATATAAAAATTTGTGTCAAATCGGTTTTTAAAATAAATCGATATTAGTGAAATCCATATGCTATAAGAGATCCAATATCGTTCGTTAATGTTACTGATATTAAATCCAAAATGCTAATTCTTTTACTTCTCTTAATTCAATGACGTAAAGAATTAGACGAGTAAATTATATAAGAAAAAACCCGGTTACTTCAATTATTACGTATCAGTATTAAGAAATATAATGTATACAATAGGGCAAACGAATATCTCTGAAAAACTTTTTAGATTATGAAAAAATTCAACCGACAAATCATATCGTTATCTACCAGGTTCATTTTAGTGCATAGGATACTCGTGTTTATAGGGGTATACCACATGAATAAGAATATATTTTATATTTTTCTGGGTATATACCTGAGTATGATATTACCATACTTAGGTACTCGGGTATAAATCAAAAATTGGTCTCTAAGATCTTTGAAAGGTATATAATTCACAATGAATACATATCACAAGTACGATACAATAGCGAAGCATATCTAATGCTTTTTTGACTTGCATATGATAGGAATTGCAGATTAAATAATCATAAATATACAACTATTCATTGCCTTGTAAATAATAATACTGTAATGAACTGTCAAAGTTTGATTGCCTGCAAAACAAGTATTTCCAAATTTACGTTGCGTGATAATTGTGATACGTATCACCTAAACGATAAAATTAGATCTGTTAGATCTTGCTTCATTTTTTTTTACCACGTTATAACTGGTTAATATGGTTAAGAAATGTCGTTGATATTTTCACATCGAATTTTTCGAAATTTAACAAATTATAGATTAAAAATTTTTATTATTTCAAAATCAATAGACCCAATTTTTTATAAAAATGTTGATAAAAAAAATTTTATTAAACAAAGTATTACAACTAAAACTTATTTAGAAAAATCAGTGTTTATAACAACGCCGATTTTTTATGTAAATGCGGGTAAGTTAATAACTTAATCATAAATAAATAAATAATAATTGAATTTACTTTCTAATATATTTGATGTAATTTTGAAATAGTACCACACATTGGTCATTTATATTCTGCCGTAATAGCTGATAGTCTTAAAAGATATTATGAACTTAATGATAAAAAAGTTATACTTAGTACAGGAACTGATGAACATGGATTAAAGGTAAGTAAGTAATATTAACAATATATATATATATATTATTTTGATTTTTATCAATATAAATACTTATATTCATAATAATCATAATTATTTTACAATGTAGATTCAACAAGCTGCCGCAAAAGTGAATCAAAGTCCACAAGAATTTTGTGATAATGTATCTGAAAGATTTCGTGTATGAATTTATTTATTTATTTTTCTTGATTTCTATCGAATATGAGACCTATGTTATTTGCAAAATAAAATAACATATTTTTGATAATGCAGGAACTTTTTGATATGGCAAATATAAGTTATACTACTTTTATACGTACAACGGAACAGAAGCATAAAGACGCGGTTAAGTTTTTTTGGGTAAGTTTGATATTCTATAGTGAAGGTCTCATAATACTATACATTATTAAGCTATTTTAAATATTAGGAACAACTTGTTAATAATGGATATATATATAAAGGTGTTCATGAAGGTTGGTATTCAATTTCTGATGAAGCTTTTTATAACGCGTCACAAGTACAAATTTCAAATTCGGATGAAAAAATTGCGGTAAATCATTTACATCTGGTCTTTATAAAGTCTAATTCTGATAGAAACAATTAATTTTATATCTTTTATAGAGTGTATTGGAATCTGGACAGTTGGTTGAATGGACTGAAGAAGAGAATTACAAGTTTCGTCTTTCAAAATGTAAAGATGAATTATTAAGATGGTTGGATGAAAATCCGGATGGTAATGACCCTCGCCTTTTAATTTAGACTCATCACCAGTTATAATCCTTTCATTTATTATTTTATTTTATTTTATTTTATTTTTATTTATTTATTTATTTTTATTGATTAGTAATTACACCATCAAATCGTTTCAACGAAGTCAAAGCTTTTATAAAAAGTGATTTGGTCGATATATCGGTGTCTAGACCTCAATCAAGATTATATTGGGGAATCCCTGTACCTAAAGATTCGAATCAAACGATATATGTTTGGTTGGATGCATTAATCAATTACTTGACTGTTACTGGCTATCCTTGGCAAACTCAAGAAAATTCGGTAAACAAACATTCGATGAGTGGTTGGCCTGTTGATGTTCATATTGTTGGAAAAGATATAATACGGTAAATAAATTTGTCACTTCTATTATTCTATTATTAAATTAAATTAATACCGTATATTTCAAAGATTTCATGCAGTTTATTGGCCTGCCTTTTTAATGGCTGCAAATTTACCACTTCCAAAAAAGATTTTGGCACATTCACATTGGATGATGAATAAGCTTAAAATGTCTAAAAGTCGTGGAAATGTTGTTGATCCATTTACAGTTATGAAAGAGTACGGCGTTGACACCATTCGTTATTATTTAATGAGAGATGGTGGCATTTCTGATGATGGAGGTAGAATTTTTAAAATTTTCTATAATCTTTTTTTTTATATAAAGCTTTTTTTTTAAATTATATATACCATTCTATGATAGCATACGATCCTACTATTCTTCAAACGCGATATCGTAAAGATTTGGCAGGACAACTTGGAAATCTGGTGTCACGTAGTACTTCACTGGCACTTAATCCCTCGTCAACGGTACCATTTTCGTCATCATTTATTGAGAATGTAAACGATAAAGATATAACCTTAATTAAAATGTTACAACAATTACCAGGTAATAATGTGCGTGCTGTATCGTGATTTATGCAATTATATTACTATAATTAAATATTTTTTTTATATACAGATTTAGTGAATAATCATTATAAAAATATAGAATTTGGAAAAGGATTAGAATTAATTTTTGAGACTATTGCAGAGGCAAGTATGATTATAACGATTATAATGATCATAATAATGATTATATATTTACTACTTTTATAATTCACTACTTTTATAATTCACTACTTTTATAATTCACTACTTTTATAATTCACTACTTTTATAA